GCCGATCTGGCGCCCCAGAGGACGGCCAAATCGACCAAACCCACAACCGAAGTGATCGTGCCGAGGTCGGTGGGTTCTCCCCCGAGGGGCTCCCGAACAATCAACTTACGTGTGGTTGTGGTTTTCCTTGTTGTGCCCGAGCAGGATGTGCAGCAGGGCCCATGAGTTAAGTCGGGCGTGCCCCCCTACAGGAGGAACATTCAGAAATCAGTCAAAACATGGTCGTGGGCTGATTTTTTTAGTGTTTTTGACCATTTTGGGGCGTTGTTTGAATGTGTTACATTTTCCATCGAAAATCGGCATGTAGGGGGGCATGCCCGACCTAACCCATGAATCACAAGACAGTTCGCCGCTTGGGCCACACCGCCTGCCCAAACGGCGAGCATAAATCGGGCGTAGCCCCGCACGCGTTCGAGTGCCCACACTTCGCCCGCGTACTCCTCGTGCTCCCCCCCGGTCCTCCTCCCCATCTTGCTCGTCGTCGTCGTCCTCCTCGTCCTCATCCTCCTCGTCTTCCTCGTCTTCCTCCTGCTCCAGCTCGGTTCCCTATCGGTTTCGCCATAGGTCGCGCCCTCGGCGGCCGAGAATAAAACCGTCTCCTGTCGGTTGCGCCATGGGTTGCGCCCTCGGCGGCCGAGAATAAAGCCGTCTCCTATCGGTTGCGCCGTAGGGTGCGCCCTCGGCGGCCGAGAATGAAACCGTCGCGTCACGGGTGCGACCAGTCTGTTCAGTTCAGTTCAGTTCAGCCAGTTTACCTCGCGAGAAACAGATTCGGGCTACGCCCGAAATGACGTTGTGAACAGGAGGCTCCGCCCACGGAAGAAGTATGGATCACACCGGCCCTTGCTTGCCAAAGGAAGTTTGCTGCAGCCTTTTTGGAGGCCACGATTTCGTCTCCTCTTTCCTCCTTGTATCGACCACGCGCAAAGAGTTAGGGGGAGAGCGAAAGGCTTCTTAGAAGCACTCCTGCTTCTTAAAAGTCGCGGGCCTCATCCATAGGTGTGGGGGCGGCGCCTTCTGAGAAGCTGCTTCCTTCCAAGAAACCTTTCCCCTTCCCCCTACCCCCTTGTGCGCGCCGCCACTTGTCAACGTTCGGCAATATCGGATCGACTGTGATCGTAGCGTCGGGGTGGTTCAAAGAACGTCATGATGCAAAACAAACTGACGTGGGCACAGTGGCCAACAAGTCAAGTTCCGAGCAAGTGCGGTGACCAGAGGGTCCGAACAAATTGTAAAAAGGAGGAGCCCTCAAGGGCGCTGGGGGAACACGACCACAACCACGAGCTTAAGCTCATGAGGAGGACGCCGACAGGGTAGAAGACTGATTACTCGAAGAGTAGCGTGCAGCAGCTGTGTTGTGCGGTTGCTGTCAGTAGCCCACAGTTGAAACGAGGGCTCTTCCCCTACCGGCGGGCGAAAACAGTTTCAAGCAAAGCCATCTAGTACCACCAATGAGCAGCCATTGTCTTTCTCCTCCTTTTCCTCCTCCTCCTGCTCTTTCTCCCCCCTCGGTCCAGTGCGGGTCCGAAGTATGATCAGCACTTGTTGCTTCAGATCTGTTGCTCAGCACCCAGCAGACCATGAAGGGAAGGGCTTTGTTTGGCACTGTTGCAGCGATTGGGTTGATGAAAGCCAGAGCCAGGGCAATAGGGCGACTGAGCCCCCCTGTCAGAGGTCTCCATCAGCAGGGTGACGCATTTTCCTTAGTATAACTAGTGGCGCTCCTCTCACCTGGTTCGCCACTTCTTCTCCGACGCGCCAACTGTCCTTCACACCAGAAGGGCAGGTACACCAGAAGTTGTGAGAAAGTGCGCTGTGCATGCGTAGCCCATATCACGCTCCCGAACTCGAACGAGGCACCCTTGCTAATGCAATGCGGGCGCAGTGGCAGGTCATCTCTCGTGTGGTGGTTTCCGCACTTGTGTGTAATTTAGGCATGCTACACGAAAAAAATGTTGGTAGAAGAAGAGCTCGAGACTTGGTAGCAACATGGATCACGTGTTTTGCCAAGATGTTGTAGATTCCACCGTCTTTTTTTTCAAATGGGGACAGGTGGGCCACCTCGAACTCGCGCTTGACACTCTGCGTGGTACGCTTATGACGCGTAATCTGCGTGCTGTGAGATGGCCAGTGTGCTCCAATGCTCCCAGGATCACTGATTAAATTGTCGTCTTCTTCGCTGGGACTGTCATGGGTACCTGGTCTGGCGCCGAAGTCGACCTTTCTTTCCTGGCGGACTATTGCCCAGCATCCATGGTGGTCCTGGTACATCTAGCTCCTCGTGCTCACAGTACACACCGTGGTCATATGAAGTTGTTGCCACCACCGTCACGAGGGTCACTGTAACGAACATGCATCGATCCTTGATGGTCATCTGCGTAATTATGTCAAGCAGGTAGTTTGTCTTCGGCAGATATAATGAGCTCCGCTTGACAATTGCTGTCGCGAGTGCTCTGGTAGGGATCGCTCCAGTCGTTACCATACAGGTTGCCATCACGCGCTTCGTGGTCTTAGGATGTGCGCAGACAGGCATCCTTCCGATCTCAATATCCGTGCTAACCTTGACGTCGCAATCAGGCTCAATGGTTGCTGGTCTGCCACGAGCATACCGTCGTACTCTCCATGTGCGGTTGGAATCGAAGCCGATCTGCCACCATTTTGTCGATGGTCGCCTTCGCGATGCGGTCGTAGAACTGGTTCTCGAAATAGACCCACGTTCATCTGTTTGCGCTTGTCCTTCTCGTCCCGTCCCCTCCTTCCCGTAGGAGGAAGCGACGGCGATGGTCAAGTGTACGAGGGCGACGAAGACGACCGCCGCGACAACGACGACAACGACGGCGACCGCCTGGGCAACCGAATGATTTGGCGCACGCTTGGTCCGTGCAGGGCCCTGCGTGGCGCCTTGCGAGCGTCGTCCAGGAAAACCTTGCGCCAGGATAGTGCTGGACAGTGTGTCATAGCGTATACAGTCAGGAGCTTTTGGATCCCATGTCGCTCCGCCTGTTCTGTCCCACCACGCTTCGGCGCGACACGCTATCCACGTCCCTGCCCTGAGGCTTCAACGTCCTCAGCCGTTCCCCGCCTTCCGCCCCGCGGAGCGGAGCGACACGCCATCTGCCAGGGCTACTGCGTCGACGCGTTAACTAGAAGTTCCTGACCGAGTTGATCTGGGGACACCGAGGGAAGAACAGTGCCATCCCAGAGAGACATGGAGCATCGGCGCGGGAGGCGCGAGCCAGCAGCCCTCCCCGACCACGCCCTGCGCCGATCACTTCGTCGGGCGGGCCTGGGACCAGCAGATGGTCGAAACCTTTGGACACCATGATGCTCCTCCGGCTCTGGCCCACCGCGATGCAGCGCGACACGATATCCGCGTCCCTGTCCCCAGGCGTCCACGTGACGAGCCTGGCGGAGCCTCCCGCTCCGCGAGGCGGAGCGACGCGCCAGCCGCTCGCAGAGCGTATAGCGCTGCGCCGGGGCCGCCGTGGCGACCAGCTGAGCAGAAGTTCCAGCCCGCGAATCTCTCCAGAGCGTTCCGGATCGCTCCGAGAGCGCTCCCAGGACGCTTCGGAGCGGCCGCGGCGCCCGGTGCGTCCTCCGGAGTCGCCCGCGGATCTCAGAGATTTTCCCCATTTGTCAGTCTCATGCTGTCTCCGTCCTGGCTTCTCCTTGCCACGGGCTCCGCGGCGGCGACCCAGAGGAGAAGCAGGGGGCCAGCGCCACCGAGAACGCGTCGGGGAGTGGGGCGGCCGACCCCTGGACGGGGGCACGCCCGAGGGTCACCCAGGACAGGGCGGCGCGCAGGCGTGCCAGCGCCCCAGGTTTAAGTCGGGCCTGTCCCACTACAAGAGGAATGTTCAAAAATAGTCGAAACATATTCAGGGGACGATTTGTTGATTTCTTCTTTCAACGATTTGGGTCCATGTTTGAGTAGTTTCAATTTTTCGCCCAAGATCCGCCTGTAGGGGGGCACGCCTGACCTAACCCTAGGTCTAGGTTCAGACATCCCTCTCGTGGGTTTTCATTCCCACTGCAGTCAACCATGATGGTAAGGATGGGGCGACTTGGCAAGGGTACCCTTACATCCTTGCCCCTTCGGCCCATCCTGAGCAACTTCCGCTGGCCAGCGAAAGTCAACGTGGCGTTCCAAGGCCCTTGCATCCCTACTGCGCATCCTTCTTTGCCTGGTTGAATGTACAGTGCAGTTTTTAGTGCATGCTCCGCGTGCGGATCATGCATTCAAATGCAAGGATTCAGTATAAAAAACAACGATGAGTTCATGCAGAAACTGTTTCATAAATTAATCATGTATTACAAACCCTACATTTCAAAGATCCGATGTGTTAAACATTGCCCTGTACTAGAGACCATGGGCGACGGAGCTCTGGCTGTGTTTTGCTGGGCGCGGCCGGCGCCTCGCACAGTACGCCGCCCCTGGTCTGGAAGGTCAGCCCTGCGACGACGGAGAGAGGACCCCCTCCTATCTTTTCTCGGACTTATGATGCTCCAGTCTACTTTAACCTTGTTCGCCAGACAGAATTTCGAGCACCCAAAGAAGTACCGAAACTCAAGGGTTTTCACGTGTCGGGCCCTGGGAGACACTCGCCCGACACTGTTTCGACACTCGTTTGACATTTTTCCGGGTGCTCGAAATTATTTCTGGGATGTTGTCCTTAATTACGATGGGAGCAACATAATCTCAGGGTGGAGCAGCGTTCCCGTCGGCAACAGATGCATTATTCTTCCCCCCTTGGTGTTGTGACCGCCAGCCCGCGTTTCAGCAGCTGCTGCCTGCCAGGACCCGCGTGATGCCAAGAGGCGCGGCTCTGGCGATCCTGGGCCGCGCGAGCATGTGTTTTTCTTGGCCCCAGAGGTTTTCCATAGTTCTTGGACTCACCTATCAGTGGCGGTAGGCACACCACCCTCCATGGGATGTCGGCGGCGGTGGTCCGCGTTCCTCCTTGGAGAGACGGTGGCGGCGGCGGCGCGAGGGTGCCCGGCAGGCCCAGGCCTCCTGGAGCAGCTGGGCCGCGTGGAGCGGCGTCGCTGCAGCCAGTGCCGAAGCTTCGACGCGCGCGGCACGCAGGAGTGGCCCGAGCCCGAGCCGCCGCCTCGTCGTCGTCGTCGTCGCCGTCGTCGTCGTCGTCGTCTGTCGTAGTCGTCGTCGTCGTCGTCGTCATCGTCGTCGTTGTCGTCGTCGTCGTCGTTGGTCGTGGTCGTCGTCACCGTCGAGGTCGCTGTCGTCGTCGTCGTCGCCTCCATACTCGTCCTTTCCGCGTTCCCCTCGTTCCTCGTTATCTTCCGTGTCCACCTTCTCGTTCTTTTCGTGGTCGTCCTCCTCCTTCTCCTCCACGGCCCTCTTCCACACCCTTCTCTTCTGTTCTGCTCCCTCCTCCTCATCCTTCTTCTGCTTCTTCTTCCCCTCCTCCTCAAAACCTGCATGATAACTACAGGCCCCTGCGTATGATGGACAAGTATATTTTTCAGGTGGTTGAGAACTCTCCCTTCACCATGATATGTCGTCGTCTGGGAAATTGGGGCCCTGCGTCATCCAGAAGTGAGGCTCGTAATGTTGAGGTTGACTTTCTGAGGATTGCCGAAAAGGTTCCCTCATGCGTTCTGTCCGTGCTTAAAACCGTTTGTAAGTGCTGGATGTGCAGCGGTAGGTTCAAAGGAGCCACGAAGTGTTGTATAGCGTGTGGTCTGCCCCCTGGGGAAACGTTGAGGCACATCATTGATTGCCCTCGTTTCTCCGAGCTTGGCCTTGTTCTTCCCTTGTTGCCCTCGGCCTTGATTTATAGTGATAGTGTTCAGACGTTGCAGTTGTAACGGCTTTTCCCCATCCCCACGGATGCCTTTGCCAGTGTGGCCTTGTACTCTATCTCGCTTACAGCTTTTATCATCACCTTAAGGGTCGTAGTTGCACGCCCCAGGCGTTGTTCAATAACGCTAAGGCTCGCATCGCTCAGCTCATTCGTCGCCAGGCTGATCTCTCAGGATATGTTGGCCAGGTCCACAGAGAGCCTGCCTCAGGCAGGCCTGCGCGGAGAAGGCAGGTCGCATTGCCCGCTGAAGTAGCAGTACGATAACTTCAGGCAGGACTGCCCCGCTAAGGGTTCGAAGACGGGTCGGGTCGGCCGTTGTCTTACCCTTCCCTGCAGCGAGTTCACTCGTCCTCCTCCTCCTCCGCCTCCTCCTCCTCCTCCCTGCTGTTCCTCCTCCCTCCCTCTCGTCCTCCATCCCCTCATCATTTTCCTCGTGCTCCTCGTCCTGTTCACGATTCCCCCCCTTGCGCTCGCCCTCCTCTTTCTCGGCCTCCACCGCCTCCTCGTCCCCCTCCCTCCCGCCCTCTCCCTCCCCGTTTCCCTCCCCTGCCCTTCCTGGCCCCGGAGTCCTCTTTGTTCGGGCCGAGGCCGGGCGAAGGCGGCCGCCGTGCCTGACGCTCCGACGGGGCCGCCAGCGTGCCAAAGACTTGGCATCGCTCGGACGTGTGCAGTTTTCCTCCGGCGAGGACCATCGAGGAGCATCCTTGATCATCTGGCGAAAAAAAACACGCACGAAACCGAACAAAAAGCACAGGGAATGGACGTCCGAGCGATGGCCAGAAGAGGATCCGCCCAGCGTGCCTGGAGCTCCGGGACTGCCGAGGCAAAGGCCTGGGCGCCAGCGGGGGGGGGGGGGCAACGCCAGCCGACGACGCCCCACCGCACTCGGGGGCGAGCTCCGAAGCCTGCCCCCGCCGATCAGAGACGTAGGCAGCTCGATGGGCGGCGGGGGCGGGGTTCGGGATGCATCGAACGCGTGGCGAAGTCCTCATCCTACCCTGAAGTCGGGCCTGTCCCTCTAAGGAGGAAGATTCGAACAGAGTAAAGAACAGTCTGGGGAAGATGTTCCGATTATCTTTTGACTATTTGGGGGTATTTTTCCGTATTTCCCATTTTTCCTCAAAGATCCGCCTGTAGGTGGACACGCTCTACTTAACCCTACCCCCGCCCCCCATCCAGTCAGGAGAATCGAGGCATGGTGGGCGTAGGGTCCGGATGTCGCCACCTAGCCACATTCTGGGGCGCCGGAGTCGGCGTTTTTCCCGTGGGGCGGCCCTGGGAATCAATCAGAACGGTCGGTTCTCGTCGTGTCGACCGGCGGCGATCCCGCCAGCGGCGTTCAAGGTTTTGACGCCGCCGGCGATCCGGAATCGGTAGGTTTTGAATTACCTGACGTTTCGAAAACGGTCCACGGTCGATCGTCCAAGGTTGAACGAACCCCAAGGTGTCAGAGACCACCGCCGAAGTCGGCACGACACGAACGTGCCCCCCCCCCCCTCGTCAGAGGAACTTGGGAAATTTCGGGCTCCAGGACCTGGGCGGAAGCGAGATCCACCGCAGAGGCCCGCGACCTAAAGTGTCTTGGGCGGAAAGGCGGGAAACTTGCCCACGTGGGCCAAGAAGATCTGGAGTAGGCTCCATCTTGGCGACTACAGGCACACCTCGTCGGGCGCTTCGCGCATCCTCAGAGCTGTTGAGGTCCGCTCCAATCCGAGTTGATCCTGTTTTCGTAGGGAGTTGCGGAACCCGTGGCTCTCTATTCAGGAGGGGAAAAAGCACACAGGCACAATGAATCGCCGATTCGCAGGAAAAGATGGGAAAATATAGGAAGCGGGGGGGAAGCCGAAAATACAGAAAATATGGAAGAACATGGGGAATCCTGTTTTTTGTGTGTACTCCAGATTTCGCAATAAAGGGAGGGGGGTCTCATTTCGGGGGGGGGGTCTCTTCCAGGCTATCTCGGAGGGCCTCGGGGGGGGGTCTGGGGACGATGTCTGGGAGGGCTCTCCCACGGGGGGAGGTCTGAAATGGCTTGTCTTGGAGGGCCCAGACCCCCTCCCTTTTATTACGAAGTCTGGAGTATACATTGTGAGGAAGTATCAGGCGGAAGCCGCTGTTGTTGCAAGCTGGGGGACAGGGGCTCAGTCTGAGGCGCAACATCTATTTGTTAACAGAGATGCGAACCTCAAGAGGGGCACTCCAATCGAACATGCACAAGGTCTGGAGTATTGAGACCCCTCCCTTTTATTACGACGTCTGGAGCATTGACTTGCGTGCCCTTAAGGGGCCCCTTTCAGAGGAGGGGCCCGACGGCGGGCCGCCGGCACGCGGCCGCCCCTTCGCAGGCGTCGGCTCGGAGGGGGGTTCCGAGGCAGCGGCGGCCTTCCCCGTCGTTTCTGTTGCTGGTCGCCCCCCTCCTCCTCCTCCTCCCTCCTCCTCCCTCCTCCTCCTCCTCCTCCTCCTCCTCCTCCTCCTCCTCCTCCTCCTCCCCCCTCCTCTCCTCCTCTCCTCCTCCTCCTCCTCCTCCTCCTCCTCCTCCTCCTCCCCCTCCCCCTCCCCCTCCCGCCCACCAAACCACGCCAACCCAACCCGACGCCCTCAATTCCTCAATTTGCCTTCCATTTCCAGCGGGGGGGGGTGGTCGGGGAACGTTGACAAAAACACATGGTATCCGTACCCCCCCCCCCCCAACCCGAAATTCGGATCGAATTCGGGTCTTCGGGTCTGGTTGGGGTGGTCTGGTAGGTAGTCGCCCCCTGGGCCTCCTGGAGGCTCCTCTCGCCGCCGCGGCGAACGGCTAAATCCGCGTCGAGAGACCTGTCATGATGGCCCACGGGAGGGAGTCGGGGACCAACTGTGAGCGGATTTGGGCCGGGCAGCTTCTCGACGCCGCGGCGAAGTTCAAGTCGGGCGTGTCCCTCTACAGGAGGCATCTTCCAGAATAGTAAAAAACGTAGTCGGGGGACATTTTGTTTTGCATGTTTTGGTTATTCCAGGGCACTTTTTGGGGGGTATGTTTAATTTTTCGCCCCAGAATCCGCCTGTAGGCTGACATGCCCGATCCAAGGCTAAATCCGCGTCGAGAAACTGGTCCTGCTGGCGCACGGGAGGGCTTCGGAGACCAACTGTGAGCGGATTTGGGCCGGGCGGCTGAACCGCCGCTGCCGCAGCGGCACCGTAACGGGTATTCACTGACGGCTACTTTGGAGAGCTGCCGGAAGTTGCCCCTTCAGGGCCTCTTTCTGGCATTGCAGCGTTGCCCAGATCAGGCCAGGGTTTGGTTCGCCAGGTAGCTGGCCAAAGTGCCCGTTGGTGGAGTCCCCGTTAGAGGGGCGCTGATTGCCTCTCGACCGGAACTCCTAGGAAGCTTCTGACGCGGCCGCCGGCGCAGCTGCAGCACCACGGCAAGCTTGGGCTCGAGCTTCGAGCCGAGCAGGCTATGAGAAGCCAGTCCGCGCACGCGACCACGAGGAGGCACGACGCCCCACCCGATTACCCCTGTGGAGGATGCTCAATGGAGCGGAAGCATGTTGCCAAATAGTTTCCAGATGTCTACAACATGTGTTAAACATGTTTCAAACATGTAAAACAACACAATTTGAACATGTTCAGACCAAGCACAGTTTAATTTCAATGATCGGAGTGTTGGAGTGTCCATTGTCAGGGCATCCACAAGATTGCCCAGACCTGCGATGTGCTGACCTGTTCGGCACGGGGCCCCCAGCAGTCCCGACCTTTTCCCCCTGGGGCCGGCGCTTCAGCCCGAGCAGTTTTTTGTCCACGGTTTTCCGGGTCCCGGCGAAGGGCCCCCAGAGGCCGAAAACGGCAGCACTGCAAGACAAAACTCCTGACTTTTGACACGACGCGATCGCGTCTGCGCATGCACTTGCGGGAGTCGATGAATGGAGAGGAAGCAGGCTGCCAAATATTTGCCAGGTGTCTACACATGCTTCAAACATGATTAAATATGTAAACTTTGTTTGAACAATGTTTAGAACATGTTTTACACACATTTGACGAGTTTTTAAATTCAATGATAGGATTGTTAGAGTGCCCATTGTCATGGCATCCACAAGCGTATACACCAGCACCGATCTTGGCCATGCCCGTCCTGAGCTCAGGATCGGTGTGTACGCCGTCCGCCGTTATTTCTTCGTTCGGCCTCGACGCGAGGATGCCACGGGAACCGTGGCCACCAGCAGTCACCGGGCCCATTTCGGTTCGATCGATCCGATTCGATGTTGATCGAGGAGGAAGAGGA